ACGGAAGAGGACGGAATACAATGCAAGCAAGTCATCAATTGGAAGCTTTGAGATTCATTTAGAAACAAACTTTCTTTATGGGACGACAAAAAATAAAATAGATGAAGAGAAAAAAAAAATCACGTGTGGAGGGTGAGGGGGAGATATGGGTTATTATAAAGACAAAAATGTTTCTATGGGGGTCACGAATTCTTCCTCCCTTCCCCCCCCCCCTCCAAAAAAAAAAGGAGAAGACTGTGTGAACACTAAAATGTGACGCAGTTCACGTTTGAATGTATAATATATGTTAAGACGAGGCTTAGACCTGATGTAGGATTGTTTCCAGGCATGATTACGTTGTGAAAACATTGTCTCCCCTTCCACAGTTCAATGACATTGTGTTCGGACTTAGTCTCAGACTCTCACCGTCTTAAAGCAGTTTACACCGCAGCAAATGTGCAGGCAGAGGAGAGAGACAAGTTTTTGTGATAGGGAACTCCCCAAAGAAATGTTAACAAACATTTGAGTCCATCAGAAGAATTTGAATAATAACTGAGACGTAATTTTTTTTTACTGTAAATTATTTTTAATGGCTTTCTTAAAAAAGTTGTTTCGGTATTCTTGGCAACTAGTGGTTAGACTTCTTCAATGTCTTACTCAAGGCCACAATATAGGAATTTTTTTTTATAAGTACGAAAAAATTTACTTTCAAGAACTTATTTAGTGTACAGAACAGGAAAACAATGTGGGAAGATTTCTGTGAACGAAACAAAGAGAACAAAACAGATAATGTTGACCTAATGCCCTAAGTGGCTCTAAATCGCTGAGCTGAGAATTAAAAAAAAATGACCTTCCCGTTTGAGATGATCTGAAATGGAAACGTAAACTTACGTTTACCTGTGCAAATGTCCAATCAGAAGTATTTAAATTGATACTGCAACTGCATAGGAGGATTTCTGATGCACAAACTACGGCCCGCGAATCACATTCGGGTAGTTTTCTGTTCTGTTGAAGCATAATTTGATGATAATAGAACACTGGTGCTTTCGTTAGAAACTTGTCCGTTTATTGCTAAGTAGTTTTCTGTTCCGTTGAACCAAGGGGAAAAAAAACGACGGACCTGTCTTCTGTATGCAGATGATATAATGCACAATTGCAAGACAACTTATTAGAAATTCTGTCGCCAAACGTTGGATTGCAAGATGTAGTTGACCTTCTTCCGCATCACATCACTTAACCTTTATAATAGGTCCACAACAACCTTTGACCCTGTGGCCTAGTTCATGTATTTTGTTGGCGGTTCTGTATTAATCTCATATTCATGAGAAGCTGCTGCTTAGAATTTGTTGTTATCTTTCCTGTCGCTGTTGTTTTTGTTTTTGCTGTTGTTATTTTACTGAACACCTCCTAAACTCCCCGGACTGACAAGGACACAGACAGAAAACAAAAAAAGTTCAAAGGAAAAGAACCAAAAACAACTCAGAATAACGGTGAGATCGGGGAAGAATGTTGGGTCTGTGTGCGAGAAAGGTCGAGTTCAAATTTATTTTTTGAAATCCAAATTTAGAAATGTTATCTAAAATAACAGCCGCTATACCACCCAAGAGAAATGCAAGATCATGAAACTCTAAAATAAATTTAAAAAAAAAGATTTAAAAACATTTTTAAAAAATGAAGTTCACATGTAGTAAGCTTGTACTAAAAATTTCGGCGCCCAAATATATTTGCTACAGACTCGAGATTATCGAGACGACAGTCCGAAGCGCATAGCACTATGCCATGCGACCAGCCACTCTATTTTTCTAGCTTAAAATTTACTGGGTTTTTTTTGTTGGTTTTTTTTACTTTTTTCTACTTTAAAATCTACTTTTAAAATATTAATTCTAACTGTTTACGTGTAAAGAATTTAAATGCGTTTTCTTTTTTAAACGGCAAAGTATTTACTAGGATAAATTAATGCCAGAAAGAATTAGAGAAACATCATGTGATATTCGACTCAATGACCAACACTTATCTGTGTTGAACTGTGTTTACTTCGCGTCACGCTTGCAGTAACGAACAAGAAATAAGACTGTGTTAATCTAGGTATTTAGTTCTAGAACTCTTTTGTGTCGTACACAAGAAAAGTTTAGAAAAAAGGGGAGTGAAATCACCAGGAGGGTGACAGTTTTCACAATGGGCTCCTCACAACTACCACCTTACCTCCTTCTTCGTTCCATTCCCTCTCCCCCCCCCCCCAACCACCAAATGCAACTTCATTTCAAATATCTTTTAATAAATAAAATAATGAAATACAATGATAAACATAATCTCTTAGGATGTAGGCATTCGTAACACCGCTAAGAGCTAATACCTTTTCAGCCATAATGTAAATAATGTTGAACACTAAAAGGGCACTAACCCTACCTCTCCATTCCTCCACCCTCCTTTTCCCACTAAAATATTATGTCCTGAAAGACTCTGGATGTTGCAACATGATCTGCTGGTAATCTTACAAGACTATTGTATCCCTTCTATAACTGGGGACCGCTCGGGTGATCACTTCAGTGTGGAAGGTGTTCTCCATTATCTTACTGTGTCGCTCGTTCAGAGGCGGCCTTAGCAGTGCGCGGGGCCCTGAGCGAGTGTCATATGCGGGGCCCTATATATGTCTTATTACAACACAACACCTTAACGGGCTTGTGCGTGATTAAAGCTATTGGCGAAACTGTTAATTCATCTTGACTCTCTTCATCGAATGGTTTGTTTCTTGCGTCTTATTCTTTGTTAGACTCTTTGTTCCTTGAATTTCTATTTGATACGTCCACAAAATGAAATATAAGGCACATCTTATACTTGTGACTTGCAGTCAAGGATGACAGATATACATATAGCCAGTTTGATTTTATCAATATCTTTCCCTTTTAAATTACTGAGCTCGTTTTGAATCCTATGTCCGATTTAATGGTCGTGAGCCTCGATGCTCTTAATTGGTTAAAGATAGTTGAGTCGAATTTGGCCAGCATCTCAATTTATTCTCAACCAAGCCTAAAATTGACCGTTGTTTGGCGCATAAAGTTTAACTGTTTTCCCAAGGAATACTTTTGTAAATTGTTCTAGCATCATGGTACCATTGGACATTCCCAGAGCTCAATCCAACCACGCTGACACACACATAACGTGATTCACAAAAACATCTTGCTGCCGAAGTTTATTACTCAAGATGCTAACACGGCAGTAGCTTTTGTTTGCTCATTGGCCTCCAGTAGCTATCGTGCCAAACAATTTATAAGGAAAACACAAAACTCTGTATTTGTCTTTGGTCTTTGGTATAAGAACAAGAACAAAGTGTGAGGTAGGAGCTACAGTAGTTCATTGACTTTTGCAGATCCCACTTTCGCGAAAGGTTTTTAAAAAAATACTCAAGCGTTTTTAATTTATTAAACACTTAGAATCGGCAGGTCATAGGATAGCTGTCTTTACCGAAACAGAACGGTATTTCGAAACCAAACATATCATGTCAAGAACTTACATAATAAGTATCATATGAGATCACATAGTATTAAATATCTTAGCTTATGAGAACTGGTCTGGTTTTCGAAGTTGATGATGACAATGGAATTTCCAATCGCGGGGCCCCCCTTACGCGCGGGACCTGGGGCAATTGCCCCACTTGCCACCCCCTAAGGCCACTACTGCGCTCGTTTTCCTACACTGTCTTCCAGTGGAGAATTCCTATGGTTAGTAAGAAAACTTGATGCCAGCTTTTAAAGCTTCTTCAAAGCGGGGCATATTAAAATTGAGATACATACACTATTGATCTCGTAAGTGTATTGTCTTCTCTAACCAGATACCACATAGATCTATAAAAATGTTTTGTTTCTTTTAGTTCGGCCGTCTGTCGGACGTGTAGAACACCCCCAAAATAAATTAAAAGCCTACTATCTAATTATCTATCTATCTATCTATCAATTATCTGTTTATCGTGTCTGTCTATCGGTCTCTCTCTCTTTTTTATATATACATATACAAATACATATATATATATATATATATATATATATATATATATATATATATATATATATATATATGCAAACTTAGTTTACCAACTACGTTTAAAAAGACATTAGAAAAAAAGGTCGAGACGCAAACGGAAGACGGATTAGGCCATGAAGAGGATTTGTTGAAAGGATTAGTCTAGCGTGACGTCAAGTATGTTTATCTCTGTTAGGTTTTCTTTACCAACGTACCGAGTTGTTCCCGAACAGAAAGACGTCGAGAGAGTTTCATTGGCTGTCATCAGATTTGTTTTGTGTGTGTGTCTTCTCGACATGAAATAAAAGTTCAGTACAAAAGACATAAGAAGAAAACATCTTGACATCTACTGTTCAGCTTGTAACGTTTCGTTAAGCTCCAACGGAAATTAAACAATTTATAAAAGTCTTGAAAAAGAAAAATGTGTGTAGAAATCAGAGGACAAAGTTTGCTGCTTTCCGCTGACTTGGGGGACACTCGAATTGGCTAATTGCCCACTCCACGAAATGTGATTTTTAATGGAGAATGGTGTTGAGCCACACGAGAACTGAGATTAATAGATCTAGTTGTTGTTGTTTTTTTAAAGAGGACCGAGTTTGTAGCGGAGTTGAGTTTGGAAATATGACATTTGACACTGAAACAATACAAAATCAAAACCATGGAATGTGATATTTAATGGAGAATGGTGTTGAGTCACACGAGAACTGCGATTGATAGATCTAGTTGTTTTGAAAAGTGGATAGGGATTGTCCCAGAGTTGAGTTTGGAACTATGGCATAGAAACGAAACAACGCCCTTCAGTTACGCCATTTTCAATAGTTCTTGTTGCAATGAATAGTTAACTTTGTGATCAGAACGCTAGCTTTTAACAAAGAGTTTGATAATACTGATTTCTATGTTATGAATAAAACGACAAGTGCACTTATTAAAAGCATGAGGAGCATATTTAGACAGGCATTAAGGGGGGTAGTGCACTTCTGAACAAAAAGGGAGGTTATCTGTGTGGAGGAATATAAGCATAAGATTGTAATTCCACTTAAATCTAAATTTCTTAAAAGGGGGGAATTACAATCTTATGCTTATATTCCTCCACACAGATAACCTCCCTTTTTGTTCAGAAGTGCACTACCCCCCTTAATGCCTGTCTAAATATGCTCCTCATGCTTTTAATAAGTAGAGATATGTGTACTGCGGTAGACCTAATGTGTCGTATAATATCAAATATATTGTTCTATTCTTATTAATGAGTATTAGTTTTCAAGTATCTTTTGTTAAAGTCAGACAAATTATCAGAAATAATATATGAATGATTATTTTACTACATTATATGAACATAAAGTATTGATTAAGTAATCATTTTGTATATTACTTGTCCCCCCGACAATTCAGCATGAAGGAAAACGCTAAAATCTCAGTGCTTCCCAAGACCTTCTGAAATAATTTTTGTCTCGGAAGTGAACATCACGTTAAAAATTTGAGAACCACGGCTCTAGAGTCTATATTTGTAAAAATAAGATATATCTGTAGTCTTCATAAACTTACACCCAATCTCTGATCAAGTTAAAAATTAGCAAAATTATTCTTTGGCCTAGACATGAATCAATAATAATAATAAAAAAATTAGTTTATTAATTACTGGTTATCAATAATTTCATTTGATATCAACAAGAAAAAATAGTTCTTCAGTATTCACAGATATGGTTAAATATGTCGAGTTTTGGCCCTTTTAATAATTGCACACGTTACTTCTCCAAAAATTCTCGGGTCATGTTGAAACTTTAAACAATTTTCGATTATACCTAATATACCATGAATCCATTAAAACATTAACCAATAATTAATTATTTTGTTTGATACCGAAAAAGGGAAATATGTTCTGTATTATTGACAGATATAGTTATGAATGTGAAGTTCTTCCACTTAGATACGTTTTTGTTTTCTTATTAATTACTTTTTTTTTTTTTTTTTTACAATTCGCTCGTTTTTTCTATTTCTCTCAACTATTTATTTGATTGGTGGCTATTTATAGCTTGTTTTTGTTTCTTCTTAATGTGCACTCAAAATGCTGACACAACAGGAAAGGACGCTGCAATGTCTGCAGTAAGTCATCGCTAACACATTTAGATAAAAAGACACAGATAGAAAGACACAGTTAGATAGAAAGGCACAATTAGATAGAAAGACAGAAAGACACAATTAAATAGAAAGACACAATTAGATAGAAAGACAGATAGAAAGACACAATTAGATAGAAAGACAGATCAGATAGAAAGACACAATTAGATAGAAAGGTACAGTTAGATAAAACGACACACTTAGAAAAAAAGACACACTTTGGTAGAAAGACACGAAAGTCCTAACCTAATTACGAACATAAGGTTCAACCTCATCCCCCATTAGTGTTCTCTCCATATGTTCACAAATCTTAAAATCTGACAACTCCCCTGACTAGAGACCAACAAGCAAGTAACCATAAAGATAAGTTCCATTTCAACATCATAGTTTAGTCTCCGCTTTCCTCTTCCCTCCCCCACATAACCTTCCCATTTGCTATAAAGTCTCTTGGCTGATTACCTCCATCCTTGTCGCCACGAGGAAGAGAAAGTGGCGGAGGGGAGAGGGGGGAGAGAGAGAGGGTGAGGATGAATAGAACAAACTCCAGGAAGTTATCTGCGAACAAAGCACAGAGGTGGTCTTCATTAGACACAGACCTTGGTGGTAATTATACACTCATCAAGAAGCACCATAAACTTCCAGCTATACCTACGGCGCGTGAGTGCTGACAGGAGAGATGATAGGACATAGCGGTGAATACATAGGCGTGTCTTTCATGGAGGGCTTTGTTACATTTCTGAACAGAATCTAATACGTACAGGAGAACAAGTCTGCATGAATAACTTGAAACATGAACAAGCGACAGTTGGTATTGCTTAAACTGGATTGAAGTTTGTCACAATATTTATAAAACGTTTTTTTTTTACTCATGATATTGTTAGGGGCTTCCGCGGTGGCCGAAGGCAAATAAACCAAATGAAGGTAACACTAAACGTAATGCAGAATCCAGTAACACCGGCGAAAGGCCGAACAATGAATAGAAGCAAGTCGACGCTGATATTAAATGTCGAACAAGTTTAATAGCAATGAAGGGAACTGTCGAATGTCCGCTAACTCTAGACGTTCATAAACTGTGACTTATCTCTACGTTGTCCTGGAAGTAGTCTGTTTACTTCGGCTTCTATTTCGTTCTGTCTCTAAAACCTTATCCTTGTTTTTACTAGTCACGTCATTGTCACTAAGTCAAAACTTCCCCTATTACCGAAACAAATAATTCATTCCTAATTGGGTCATAACATTATATGACGTTGTTATTTTATGTTAGTCCTTTTCATTAATAGCAATTTTAAGTTGAATTTATATTTTAGAAATAATAATAATAATAATAATAATAATAATAGTGATTTAATCAATAATAACTCTTCTTATTACAAATATTCGCCACAAGAGGATCTCGAGTCCACTGATCACTTATTATACTGAGATAGGCCTATGTTGACTGATAAAACAGTGGATTTTGATCGTCCTTATCTGCTGTTTTTTTATAAAAAAAAAAGGAAAAAACCGCTACCATCATTGACATCGCCGTATCTATTAATATAAAGAAAACATAGATGGTAAAACAAAGAAAATATGGCAACCTACGCTTGAAGAGTAAGCGATTACGGAATCTAAAAAAGGGGTCTCAAACAAGTGGCCCGCGGGCCACATGTGGCCGCGAAACAATTTTGTGTGGGCCGCGAAACAATTTTGTGTGGCCCGCGAATTCGAAAAAAATTAGATAAAATTTACAATGACCACATATAAGCCGTGAAATGATTTACAACTGCACAAATCAGTAAATGAGGTGTCCGTCAACTGCAAGCGAAGATTCTGTGAAGGAAAGCTATGTTGTTAGCGAGATGATAGCAAAGGCATCACGCCCATTCACTGCAAAAGACTTTGTAGCATATTTTATTGCACTGGACGAGTCTACTGGTGTAACAGACACCGCATACTGGGGTCGACGAAAACTTGAACATTGTTGAAGAGCACTTGGACTTACTACCCATGAAAGGTAAGACGACTGGATGCGATTTGTTTCAAGAACTGGAAGCTTGCATTGACAGGTGTGGGCTACCGTGGGAAAAACTTGTTTCAGTGACTACGGATAGTGCATCAGCAATGTGTTCAGAGAAGGTTGGTGTTGTTGGATTAATGGTAGAGAAAAGGTATTAGCTCAGCTTGGCGGGACCTTTTGCAGTCATACACTGCATTCTGCTCCAAGAAGCACTCTGTGGCAAAAGTCTACAAATGAAGAACGTGATGGATGTTGTCGTGAAGACGGTGAACTTCATACGTGCACGGGGTCTCAACCACAGACAGTTTGTGTCATTTCTGATTTAGAAACGGAATTCAGATGGTTGAGTCGTGGAAAAGTGATGCAAAGATTTTTTGAACATAGACGGGAAATAACATTGTTCATGGCAATGAAAGACGGAGACATACCTCAGCTCAGTGACCCAATGTTTTGTCGGATCTTGCTTTTCTTAATGACATCACGCAACATCTCAATGCACTCAATTCACAACTATAAGGCACAAAGCAGCTGATTACCGTGATGTTTGACCGCATCAAATCATTCAGATGCAAGCTGACTTTGTGGGCCACTCAGCTGGCATTTGGAAACCTGGCTCATTTGTCTTTTCTACAGAGCATTACGGTTGAACCACAGTGCCTGAAAGACTACGTAGACATCCTCTACAGACTACTGGAAGATTTTGAACACCGCTTTCAGCAATTCACTGCTCTTGAACCACAGTTTTTCCTTGTTGCCACTCCGTTCGCAGTTGACGTGAAAAACGTTCCAGAGGAATTTCCTGATGGAACTACTGGACCTGCAGTGTGACACTGTTCTGAAGCAAAAATACGCTGATGTTGGCGTTCCAGATTTCTACCAGTTTCTTCCCATAGAGAAGTTTACAAAATTATTCTGCGCAACTGCTAGAATCTCTAGCGATGCTTGGGAGTACGTACGTTTGCAAACAGTTTTTTCCAGACTGAAGATCAGCAAAACAGCATTACGATCAAGACTGACTGATGAGCACCTGAGAGCAACCTTGCGGCTTGCCACTACACGCGACTTCAGGCCTAACGTCGATGGTCTGGTCTCTGCCAAACGCTCTCAGCTGAGTGGACAGAAATATGAGAGAGGAGCCGTCTGCAGTAGGCCTAGAAATTATAGTTTTTTTTTTGTTTTTTTTTTTTTTGGGGGGGGGGGGGGGAACAGTTTCTGCTTTTTTATTAGTGACAGAGACAACGTCAACTTATTTTAGTAAACTTAACTGCCTGTGCATGTAATAAACTACACTAAATGTAATTAATAATTATCAAAACTTTATTTTAGCATTTAACTGCAGTGACAGTAGTGTTCATGAAATTTAATGAAAAAAAATTCTCTTTTTGTGGTGCGGCCCTCTGAATGGTTGTTACTTTCCACTGTGGCCCACATGCTGATATGAGTTTGAGACCCCTGACCTAAAATAACAAAAGTACCCAGTGTTATATCAACTGAGTGATAATGAAAACTGACCTCTCAGACATCTTCAAGGCCATGAACTCCTCTAAGAATGTTCTCCTTGCCCGACAGAGGGCGGTACTGCTGCAGACCTGCCACATCACCAGAAAACTTTCTAAGTGGACGCTGTTAAAGGGACTACAGTGAATTTCATTTCTCTCTAACGAAGCTCGGCGCTGGCAGTGCCAGAGAATGACTACTACTTCGTTTTTCACATAATAATAATAATAATATAATGTCACTATCTCATATCTCAAATGTTCATGAAATTCTTTGGTAAAGCTGAACCACTACCCCATTCTGACACAATAAGAATCATTTTGAGTCGACTTTGTTGCAGACGCCTTTCGTTTGAGAAACGCTGGAAAAGACCCTCACTTTGAATTAAAATAAGTCTCATCAGATATTTCTACTTTGTTCAATGCCTGTGTCACGTGATTTCAATCTCTACAAACTTTGTTCTATTCTTACACGCTATAATTC